TATAAACTAAATCATACAAGAAACGTATGCTCTATAATGATACACCATAAAAAAGATGAAAAATTTCCTATTCTCTTTATGGACTATGTTTATGGATTTAAAAGCTTTATTTCAATGCTGGAAGAGTTCTCATTCAGAATTATGATTTCTAAGGCTCCAACCTAACAGGGATAAAGCCTAAAATCTTTGTTTGATGATTAAGAAATGCAAGTTAGAAGTCAGTCATTTTGTAGATGATCAGGTTCTTTGGCATGTCCAGAAATATAGTTTTAGTGCTACAGATGCAGAGACAGTTTCACTGCCGTCTTAACTAAACAGCTGAGGACAGTCCCTGAATGTTCATACAGGACTTGGTAAAAATGACTTTCAGAGTCTTTAAGCCTGAAAGGGGGTGGCCAAGTCTTCCCAGCAGGCTTAGCTCCAGCAGAAAACCATGCTCCAGGCCTTGGATGCTGCTCTGAGGCTGTCAGCACTCCCACAGAAAGAAGAGGTCTATGATGCCCCACAGGGGTCCAGCGTAAGTTAACTCCACCAGGGACCTGTTTCAGCTGCAGCCATTTGGTTTGTCTTTTAAGTATAGACTTAAAAAATGTTTCTCACTGTGCTAGATTTATATACATCCAGTCTTCTAGAGAGATGGAAAAAGCCTCTCTTTCATGATGTGTACCCATGCTAAAAATCAGTGTCTTTACTCTGGCCCCGCAGCTGCCTCAACAAGCCATGCCCTGCCTGCTAGCAGACCGGCCTCTGGGAGTCGACAGGCTCCCATGCAGGCCAGCCCTCTGTGGACAGACACAGAGGACTAATCAGTGCAACACCACAGACACTTCCAGTCTTTGAGTTCCTTGACCTAGCAGAGGACTGAAGGCTCCTAGATAGAGCAACCTGCACTACCCTCGCCAAGCCCAGGGTAACACTGCAGGTCTGTTTTAACCTCACACTCAGGTCCCATGGTCACATTTTGTCAACTCTGTCATGGAAGGCTTCAGATAGCTTCTCAGTCCTCTTCATACGCAGTGGACCAGGCCTTAAGCCTCATTCCTAAAGCTGCCACTGTCAGGTCCGGAGGCAGTCTACCTTGTTACTCAAAAAGCAGGTCTCAGATGTACCCTTTTACCATTCCTTTAGCTAAAGGAAAAGGACGGTGACTGTTCCCAGAAGTCTCACTGTGTCTCATGATAAATAGGAAAAAAAGGCCTGAGGATACAGAAGCCTAAGGTATGAGTACCTAAGAAAGTATTTTAGGGTCTAAAAAGGTGATTTAATGTATCCAAAATAAATAAATAGATAAAAATGGTTCAGATTTCTTCCTGATGCTATGCTACTGTTGTATTGAGACTGTTCAGAGCTTTGACATTAATCACTGGAGCTCTGATTTATTAATCTCACTGATAAAAAAAAAAAACCATTTCACTATACTATCCTACTATCCACTATCATAATTCCAAGCTCAAGATTTTGAATTTCCTTTGATTTGTCTTTTAAGTATAGACTTTAAAAAATGTTTCTCATTGTGCTAGATTGATATACATCCAGTCTTCTGGATAGAGGGAAAAAGCCCCTTTCATGATGTGTAATCATGCTAAAAATCAAGTTCAAATGAGCTTTTGCTCCCTCTACTTCACAAAGGCTTCTGTCCTCCCTAAGATCACCTCAAAGAATGTTCATGCTTTTAACCCAAGATTGTTTCCTAAGCTATGCTGTGACACAAGCTTGCATGTTTACTGCCTTTTTCTTCGATGTGTATTTCACTTCAGATAACCATGGTGATGCTAGAATGTTTAAAACGTAGCTTCTTTGTAAACTCAAAAAGGATTTTTGTAAGCTACAGGAAAGCTACCTGAGTCCACCTCTCAGGTCAGATGGACTCCAGATGAGTACTGCCAACCAACAGCCTAAGTTTCCACCTGTTGTCTATCTCGGAGGGCGGGATTCCTCTCTTTTTCCATAGTTTTTGGACTCCCCTCCCCGAACTACCAAAACCATGAATCCAAAAGTTTCAAATATGCACCAATTTTTTTTCTCCCTAACCTACTTAACTTTGTCTTCTGCCTTTACACATGTTGTGATATTTTTTGGTCAGGTCCAGGCATTTTCTACATCCAAACAGCTATTTACGGGTGCTCCAGTCTAACCTTGCAGACCTACAGTCAGCTGGACCTGCATTTTCCGTCCTAGCCACAGATGATCTCACAGATCCTGAACAGCAAATAGGACAGCCTCCTCTTCCTGGACTTGGTCAACATTCCAGCCTTTTCACCCCCTATCTCTGTCCCCATATCATCAGGAAGCAGCCAAAGATGATTGATTATTCTGCCCCAATCCGTTTATTATCAACAGAAGGCTGCGATGTTGTGCCTCAGACCCAGCACAAGCAGCTCCAGGTTCTCCCAGCATCCTTTGGTCCTTACCTGCTGCTGAGCATGGCTGGCAAACCCAAACCTCTACCCTGAACTTTCCAGCCAAGAATACACAATAGAGAGATCTTGTCGAAGGGGCTGGAGAGATGGCTCAGAGGTTAAGAGAGATCGTGTCTAGTGTGTGTGTGTGTGTGTGTGTGTGTGTGTGTGTGTGTCAGGATCTTTCTCACTTTTCCACAACCATCCTTAGCATCGAGACCTTCATCTTCACAAGACGGTTGTTACAACACATTCCATGTAGGAAGAAAAAAAAAGAAGAATAAAAGACAAGCAGCTGAGATGGCTCAGTAGTTCAGGGCACTGGTCTCCTCTTCCGGAGGACCGGGTTCAATACCCAGCACCCACATGGCAGCTCACACCCTGATGTAAATATGATGCTCTCTTCTGGGCCTCTGCCTGCACCAAGCCTCCAAATGGCACATAGAAGTAATACAATCAAAACATCCATATTGGGAGGAGAAAAAGACAGACAAAAAGCCTGCCCCTCCTTATGTCTCCAATGTCCTAGCTGTCACTTGGTTACCTTTAAATGGAGGAGTCCTGAGACGTCAGGGAGAATGATGGGGTCAGAGGTGAGGATGGTGAGAAAGGGGGAGTGTTGAACTTGATAATTAGGGGGTCTCATGCAAAATTCTCTGAAGCAATCGTTTCATGAGTGTATGAGGCATTGAACATGTGTGGAGGCTTGGTAAGGACGGTTGTGTGCATAAGAAATGAGGACTGATTACTCTCTGGGATATGTGAAAAGGAGAATGAGGGAGAGTACAAGGCTGAAGGCGCATCGTCCAGAGGGTTCTGTGAGTACCCGAATAGATGTAGAATGGGGGGTGTGTGTGTGTGTGCGCACGCGCGCGCGCGATGGTGGCACAGGCCTTTAATCCCAGCACTCAGGAGGCAGAAGCAGGCAGATCTCTGAGGCTGAGGCCAGCCTGGTCTACAGCGCTAGTTCCAGGACAGCCAAGACTACAACAAAGAAACCCTGTCTCAAAAAAACAAACAAACAAACAAAAGAAAAACTACTGTAGAAGGAGAGACAAGATATATAGCACATAACATAAAGATCAGTTAGTGGGGGGACCCCCCTACAGAGGCATGGCAGTGAAAAGAATGCTTCTCTGTAAGTCACATTCCTCCCTCCAGAACAAGAAAGGAAGTAAGGATGAGTGAGATAGTTAGCTGTTTCAAGAACAGAATGAAATGGTTGGGAAAAAAATTCAATATTGATCAAACCTAGGGTTTCGTGTATGCTAGGCAAGAATGCTAACAGCTCTGATCACAAACTTTGGTTTTATTACTTTTTAAGATTTATTTATTATTTATACAGTATTCTGCCTGCATGTGTGCCTGCACACCAGATCACATTATAGATGGTCGTGAACCACCATGTGGTTCTGGGAATTGAACTCAGGACCTTTGGAAGGGCAGCCAGTGCTCTTAACCTCTGAGCCATCTCTCCAGCCCACAAACTTTGGTTTTATAAATGTGCAACTTAAAGCTGTTGAACTTTGATTTGACGTTTAAAGGAAAATCGTCCTATAACTGTGTAGCCAAGGATAACCTTAAGCTTCGATCCTCATGCCCCCACGTGTTAGAATGATAACCGTGGGCCACGATATCTGGTTTATGTGGAGCTGAGACTGAACTCAGAGCTTCATATTGCTAAACAACTCTACCAACTGAGCTACATCCCAGTCCTGAAGAGAACATTTGAATTAGCTCTCATCAAATTTGAGGGAAGATGAGTAAGATCTCACCAAAATGTAAATTCTGCTACGCTTATTAGATCTTTGGCCATGCGCAAGCAGAGAGCAGCTGTAGACCGAGAATGGTGATGACTTGTATGCGCTTCTCAACATTTTAGTTTTTCCCAGGCTAGAGACCACACGGAGCATAGGGCTAGAACTGGGCGTTTCTCTTACTTGTCTAATCCTGGAAACGCTGTGGCAAACAGCAACAGGCAGTCCTAAACGAAAGCTATCAGAACTAGTCCTGCAAATCTGCTCCCTTCAGCAGAAAACCGCCACGTGGAGTCTTCTGAAAACCTGGGCACCACGAATCCACGCACAGAAGTTCGTTAGCACCGGGCCTACTTGGGAGATCAGAGCCCTCATCCGAGGGGCCCTCCCAGACCCGGGAGAGAAAATGGCTCTCACTTCCCATTGGCTGACCTTTCTGGAGTTTAGCCCTTCAATACATTTTCATTGGTGGCTATTGTTGTCACGTCCTCTCCCCGTACCCACTTCCTGCAAGAGCTCCTGTGGTCTGGGGTTCTCCCACTCCCCCGCGCCCCGCTGGTCGGAGACCTCGCCCCTGTGTGACCAATGCCCCGCCCTTAGGGCGTCAGTTCCCGCCCCTTAGCGTTGGGGCCCCGCCCCCAACGCATAATCACTCCCCTGCCTGCCGTCTCGCCCTACCGCGCGGCCCCGCCCCCCTCGAGCCCCGCCCCGGACAGGACAGGTCCACGCCCCTTGCCCGCGGTCCGCCCCTCCCTCCCCAGAGGGCGGCTACCAGGCGGCGGCCGCAGCCGCAGGAAAATGCTGGAAGCGGGCGCGCGCCGGCCGCCGGGGTGCTGAAGGGACAGTTCCTCGGCAGAACTTGGCCCCGAGCGCGCGGGGCGCTTCAGCGATGGAGACTATCTGGATCTACCAGTTCCGCCTCATCGTGATCGGGGACTCCACGGTGGGCAAGTCGTGCCTCCTGCACCGCTTCACCCAGGGCCGCTTCCCGGGGCTGCACTCCCCTGCCTGCGACCCCACGGTCGGCGTGGACTTCTTCTCGCGCCTGCTGGAGATCGAGCCCGGCAAGAGGATCAAGCTGCAGCTCTGGGACACAGCGGGGCAGGAGCGCTTCAGGTAGGGGGCTTCGGCTCTCGGAAGTGCTGGCGCGCGGCGCTCGCTTCCCCGCCGCCCCTCCCCCTCCGGGGCGACTTCCTCCTCCGCAGTTTCTCCTCTCCTGAGCGCGGGTTTCCGTCTCCTCCCCAGTCCCAGCCCTGTCTGCTCCTCCCGGCTTTGGGGTCGATTGGCTGCACCTCTGCCTTTTCCCCAAACTGGACTTCGCTCGCTCAGCACACACACCCTGACTCAACCACCTCCCTCCTAGCACCCCCTCTCCAGCCTTCACCGCCTCTTTCCGGCGCGGGGGAAAATGCCTAGTGGGGTTCCCAGGTCTGTGGTGATCTTGGTTCTCGGCAAGCAGAACTCGGCTGCGGTTGCAGCCTGAGCCCCTCGGAACGGTTCGCGGAGAGGTGCGGTGAGGGTTTCAGCCGCTGACGGCACCGAGTGTGCTCCTCAGAAAATTCTGGGCCACGACCCTCGGGAGTCGGGCCTGGAAAAACAACCAAATGCGACGTCGGAGTCACTGAGACAACTGAGGGGGGGGGGTGTTTGTGTGTAGGGGATGAAGTTGCCTTTAAAAGTTTGTCTTCTTTGATGTTTTGATGTGAAAAAGAGGGTTGTGAGGGTTATCTGCAACTTTTCCTTTATTCTACCGATCGGTTCGTAAGGATACCAATCGGTGCGATGACGAGAGGAAACACTGCTCTAAATGGAGAGGGTCTCAAGTAAACAGTCTCACTCTGGATGCTCACTGAGGAACCTGAAAGATCGTACAAAAACCACTGACGTTACAGAAATAAAAAGTAAATGAAACTTGATTCCTTGGACATCTGAGGTCAAATCGCATTTAAAGCGTATTTCCAGTTTCTGGGGTCCACGAGTACTTTATTTTAGAGGAAGGTAAGGGAGCCAATAATGTGGTGTTTCGTTTCTTAAAAATCACACCATCAGTTGGAACTCGTTGAGGCAGGCATTTTTATATCTCTCAGCAAGTGCTCTGCTTGAGAAATAAAGAGCTCCATTAAGGAACTTCACAAATAAAGCTCAGCTAGCATCCATTCGTTCCGTCTACATCTGTAGAATGTCCAACATTCAAAGCTCTGGCTTCCAGCCAGGCTGTGGCAACGCAGGCCTCTATTCCTAGCACTCAGGAGGCAGAGGCAGACAGATCTCTGTGATCTTGAAAAACAAACAAAACAACAACAACAAAAAAGTTGGCTTCCATTCCTGGATCTGACACTGATTCACAGATATAATAAGGAAACTGCCTCTCTTGATTGTGTGTTAGTTTTCTTACTTTTGTGTGTGAGGTAGAAAAACATTAAGGCCAGTTTCAGAGAAGTGTTAACAGCCATCAATCTTGTTGAGAATTCCGTGAAAATATTTTGGTTCCCTTTTCAGTCAGCCTCCTTCGATTGAAACAGTTTTGTTGTTTGTTTTAACTCGTGCTTCATCTGTAAAATAAAGACGTCCTTGTGATTTCTAGGATTCCTTCTAGTTCAGTCACTTTTGAGATACATTACAGAATCTTCCATTTGTGATCTTAGTCAGAGATGAACTTTGAGATATTTCAGGGTCAGAAAAAAAAAAAAAAACCACTTACTAAGAGTGTTTGCTCTGCCCTTTAAAGATAGTAAAATCCTCCTGTGTCTAACTATTTACTTAAAAGTAACTCCTCTTGACCCTATTGACAGGAAGGTAAAGAATAATTAATTTGTTAACACATAAACCTTTGCTAAGTGAGGGTTTTGAAATGCCTTTGAGAAGAATGTAAATAGCAATTCATTATATATATGTTTATTTTTATTATTAGTATTACTATAGCCACCGAATAACTGCCCCATAATAATGCAAGGACATTTACAGTGGGTCATACTTTGTTTTGTTTGGTCTTTACCAATGATGTCTTCGTAAATACATATTTCAGTAGCTACCTACAACACTTGCCTTTCTAGCATTTAGCAGAATGCTTCAACATAAAACTGCATTCAAAAAGTTACTGTTAACCCATCCCACATCTTGTAGAAAATGCAGCTGTTTACTCTGAATCATGGATCTTCTGGCACGTTTTATTACAGTCAAGGGTACTTGAAGATAATATGCCTGTCATTACCATCATACCCTAAGGAATTTGTGGGAAATGTTGTATTAGAAGGTTTATTGGTGATTAGACATAAAGCAAAAAAGGAACTTACCTTGGAGAACTCATGAGGTCGTTCGGAAGCACAAACAAATATTTTGCAGAACAGTGAAATGACTAGCTGGTAGTAATCATGATTAGTTTTACTTTACAGTATTTAAATTAACATTCTAATGGATTTTAACTAACAGCATAACAAAAAGGAACAAGACCTCCTGGGCATGGTGACACTTGACTATCATTTAAAGATTGAAGCAGGAGGACCATGAGTTCAAGGCCAGCCCAGGCTATACAACCAGACTCTCTCTCAAAAGAGAATAATGCTGGGCATGGTGATACAAGCCTTTACTCCAAGCATTTTGGAAGCAGAAGTGAACAAGTCTCTGAGTTCTAGGCCAGTCCTGTCTACATAAGAGTTCTGGGCCAACCAAATGCTACACATTGAGAAAGTCTGAAAAATAAAAATAAAAGAATAAAATCAGTTGATATTGCTTTGATTTACACAAATATTTAGCATTCCATGAAGAACCCTAGTTCACTAAGGGCCACTATATACCTAGGAAGTGGGAAAGGGGAGTTTAGAACTGTGAATGTTAGAGGGAAACTAGCAGTCCACACTTTTTGTAAATCTTAATTATATTAGGAAAAGTTGAGCAGCTAAAAAAATAAAATCAATGTTTTATGCAGCGTTTGTTTGGCTAGGCTTTTGTTTGTTTGGTTGTTGTTTTCATCTCTCTCTGTAGCTCTGGAAACCCACTATACAGACCAGGCTGGCCTCGAACTCAGAGATGGGGTTAAAGGTGTGCACCATCATACGAGGGGCAAGACACTGTTAATGACTATATAGAAAGGGCTAAAAATATGGAAAAGTGTTAAGTAGAAGAATATTTTTTAATTTTTTTCCGTAAAATATATTTATGTAATATAAAGTGCTAATGTTTGTCCTTCATATGTTGACACCACTATCATGTCCTTCATATGTTCGACCAGATCCATCGGTGTGATTGGCAAGAGGCGTTGGGACTTTTAAAAGGAGGGGTCTATGGTATAAAATTATTGGGTCATTGAATACATCATCCTTGGAAGGAATCAAGTCCTTTCTCATGGGAGGGTCTGCAAAATGGCTTTGAGGATAAAGGGACTTGCTGCCAAACCTGATAACCTAAGTTTGGTTCCTGGGACCCACGCGGTGTGAAGAAAGCATTGGCCCTTACAAGTTGTTCTCAGATCTCCAGGTGTGTACTGAAGTGCCCCCCCGACCATAAATAATTTCATGAAATAAAATTTTAAAAGAAAACTTTAGGATAGAGAATTTTAAAAGCAATTTCTCGTGGACCCCCAAATAGTTCTGTGAAAGTAAGTACTGATAAAAGAATGAGCCTGACCCCTTGCAGCTTTCTGGCACCTTGTCTGCTCTGTGACATCTTCCTCTCAAACATGCTACCACCAGGATATCACCTACCATGTGATAAAGCAAAGGAGACCTCACCAAACCTAGTGTCATGCTGCTAGATGAACTGCTTTCCTTTATACTGTCTCCAGCCCCAGATATTTTGTCATAGGAGCAGAAAGTGGTCCAATATATGAAATGAAAAAAAGTGTAGTAGCAATATTGAACACATACACCATGAAACTTGCGGGTTTCAAGCCAAATTTGGCCTTTTTTTTTCCTGACTGAACTTTTGGGTAGTATAATTATAGTCACTAATTACAACACTCAGAGAAAAATGTCTTCTTCCCCTGGTCCTCTCAAGATGTGTTCTGTAATACACTCACCTCTTGTGATTCTTTTCAAAGGATGACTTGGATAATCAAATGTGTTTAGAAATCCATATAACATTCCCTTAAAATCCCATATCAAAGCATCTAGGAAGCCAGGTATTATGGTGTACGCCTGTGGTCTAAACACCTGGGAAGCAGAGGCAGGATAGTAAGTTTGAAGCCAGCATAGGCTACACAGTAAGACTTCGTCTGAAAATACCAAGGACTAAAGCTGTGGCCTAGTGGCAGAGTTTTTGTTACCATTCCCAAGGCCCTAGGTTTCATCTGAGCACTGGAGGAAGAAAGCTGCAAGAACTAGTGCAGCAAAGAAATATGTTTAACTTCGATTAAATTAGCAGATTTACTTGAGCTGTTTCCAAAATATGCAATCAGGGAGAACTGGTGTCCAAGGAATATGAAGAAGAAGAAGCTCCTTTGATAAGTTGCTTTTTCCCCTCAAAGATTTGGAGCAATAGCAGACCTACATAAATGAGTTAGCTGGCTAATTAACTTAGCAAAAGGTTGTAGGCTGTAGGGGCTATAGTCAGTGAACGCCAGGGCTTCTCCTGTCTCCCTTTCCTCGGTGCTCCGCTTACAGGTGCACGCTGCTGCGCCTGCCTTTTTTACGTGGGTGCTGGGGACCTGGATTCAGATCCTCCTATTGCTAAGCAGGCATTTTCCCCACCCTCCTCTTCTGATTCCTTAGTCCCTTCCAGTGTATTCCTTTTTTTACAGGATCTAGTGTGATGTGGACTCATGTAGATAAGGCTGAAGTACAGCCTCAATGGCAGAAGCTCGCCTCAGATACACAGAAGTGTAGTAAGTGACCCGCAGTGAAAGCTCTTCTGTGAGACTAAGAATGCTGCAAAGGGAAGTTAGGTGGCTGCCAAGAACTTCCCTAGCTGTAAAAGAAAGCATTTTGAAGAAAGATTATATTCTTAAATTATAAGTATTGCCCATCACCTTTCCTTGAAATAGTTTTCAGTGTATGATTAGTGGGTGTCACTGGAGGGAAGGGTTCTTATTTTTTATTAAAGCAAATTTATTTATTTTTATTGAGAAACAAACTCATGAAACCCAGGCTGGCTCAAACTCACTTTGTAGTCATTCCGTTAAA